GACAAATCCAACAAACAAGCAAACCAGAAGAGAGAAAGAAACAAAAAGAAGGAAAGAAAAAAAAGAGGAAAAACAAATAATAAGAATAAAAAATAAATAAAAAAAGAAAAAACCCAAAAGACAAAGTCTAAAAGCATAATCCTAGCTACAAATAAAGAGCAGGGTGTATGCAGTGCTGATGGAAGAACATATACAAAGAGAGAAGTGACAAGGGCAGGGAGAAGCGAAATTGGGCAGTGATCAGATAGAAAGACTAATAGGCTTAATTCAGAGAGAGAAAGAGGAGAATATGGTAAGAGGCAAGCAGAAAGAGATGAAGATAATATTACTTAGGGAAACTATATAGTCTGATTAGTCGGGAGAGAGCGAGATAGAAAGGTAGTGGTGGAGGTGTAGAATATCCATCTAGAGAATGGATTAAATGTGACCGTTTAATCAAAGCAATGACCAGAGTGCCCAGTCCAGCAGAGGGGAGGAATACGAATGAGACAAGGAAAAATACATCTGAATAGAAAAAATTGATCTAGAATTAATCACAGCAGTGCATCCTGTTTGTCTTGACCCAGGCTGTGATTAAAAAAAAAGGCAGCTCTAGCAGGGATGGGCGTGGTTTGGTGTAGGCAGGTCTTAGCTTCCACTGTGCCTGCAGGCTGCTCTCTGAGGTCCTGCCCCGGTGGTTGTGGGGAGAAAAATGGCGTCGCTCCAGTCCCCTCTTGAACCAAGTGTTGCGACTCACTCTTTTGGGTCCGATCTCCCTGTGCCACGGGTGTGGCCAAGGTGGGCTGTGTTCTATGTCCCATGCCCCACCTCATTTCCAGTCTGTGTGCTTTATTGATACCACCCGAAATATAAACCCACAGGCCGAGTTTAAAGCTTGCCGCTTCCCCACTGGGGATTGAACCAGGAGAGTGGTGGAGCAGTTTCAGGCAGGCTGCTTCCCCTCCAGATCGAGCTGGAGAGCAGAGGAGTAGTTTCTCCTGGCACTGCCTGGGAGCAGGGCACCCAGCTCAAAGTCAGCAACACAGCTGGAAACTAGATCACTCTCTGTACCCAGCCGAGGTTTTTCTCTTCTCTGGGGACTGTTATTGGAGCAGTTTCAGCCACTCTTTTCCCCTCGACTCACTGCAGCTTCCTGCGAAGGGGGCTCCCTCTCTTCCCTCCATGTCTCCAGGTCCTGGCCCATTTTTATCTTCCTCAGTTCACACTCACGGACCTATAAGGTTGTTTTCTCAGCAGACTCTGTCTCCTTTTCCTCCCAAACTCCTGCGGTTCAGTGTCCAATGGCTTCAGGCCTTCACCGTTTGAGAGATGGGGGCGAGTGAAATGTATGGCTCCCTACTTCTCCTCCATCTTGCCTCCAGTCTTATGTTCAGTCTTTTAGAATGGTTTTTCTTGTTAATGTCTCCAGTAGAAGCTTGGAAATGTTGCTCTAATATTGGTTGTCATACCGTAGAGTTGTGATTCTGAACCTTGCCCAGATGTTGGAATCTCTTGGGAAGCTCTAAAAAATACTGATGCCTGTGTCACCCCCATGTCTGGGCTTTGCCTGGGTATCAGGGTGTTAGTAGCTTCCTAGGTGATTGCAGTGTGAAGCTGAGTTTAGCAACTCCTGCCTTGGAGGCTCTTGTGGAGCAGATGAACCTAAGAGGCCTTAAACTTTTCTGTTTTACCTTCTGTCTTTACTTTCTGTCTAAGATTCTCCTGGATAGTCCCCTTCAAATGTCTTTGCTTTTATTGTAGCTTGGGAGTCATATTATGTGATTTATGGCCTTATTTTGTAATCAGTATAATCTGTATTATTTAATCCACTTGTTAGTATACTTTTTTCAAATACCTGTTTTAATTGTTTACTGATACTTTCTCTGGTACTCAGCAAACAAAACAAACACCCTCCCCCCACGCCCCCCTCCTCCCCCAATTCCCAGTTATGAAACCTCGAGCTCTCCCTGATTCTTAAACTCTGCAGTTCATCTAGAGCGCAGTGTTCACATAAACGTTGGTAATGCAGAGAGAAACTAGTGTTTTGATCCTTTGGTTTCTGTGTTCTTCCCCTTCCTCCAGCAGCCCTTAGAGCAGCCACCTGTTTTTGAGGTTATCCTTGAGTTTTATTGTCTTCATACTTTTAGTAATTGTCTGTAGCAAGTCATTATCGAGGACCCACTCCCTGCCAAGTCCATTTCTCTATGTGGAAGAGAGTCAGAGGTTCCTGAATTTGACCATAGTGCAATCTCCCCATCACCTGGAGAGGTTAAAAATATGGATGCCTGTGTCTCACTTCCAGAGATGTGATTTCATTGGTCTCAGGTGTGGCCTCGGCAACGATGCTTTAAAAAAGTCTGTTTTTATGGTATTTCCTTCATTGTTCTAAAGCTCTTTTTCTCATACATATTGCACCAAGGAATTAGTGTTGGTAGATGTTAGTATTAGTGATAGTCCAAGGAGTCAATGGTGTTTTAGGCTCATGGGACTTTAGATTCTTGCCAGTGGGACTTAACATACATGTGGTTTTGAACTTTTGCATGTGTGGGAAAATGTTTTTCTTGCTGTGCTCTCACCGTGCTCTGAACATCAGTGGATGGGTGATGCTGGGTAGATAGAATGCCGGTGTTTCAGAAATGGCCTTTTTTTTCTTCTGGGAATTTTTGGTTACTGCACCTTTGTCTTTTACTATTTAAGTTGGGGTTATAGGCAAGGTTGTAATCTGAGTACCATACACCAGTGTAACATTCAGTGGTTGTAGACTTTTCTGAGAAAATACAGTGGTCCCCCTTATCTGTGGTTGTGCTTTCAGTTGTTCATTTACCTGTAGTGAACCATGGTTCCATCATCAGAAGGTCAGTAGTAGCCTAATGCTATGTCACAGTGCCTATGTCCTTCATTTCACTTGATCTCATCATGTGGGCATTTTTATCATCTTACATTATCACAAGAAGAGGGGTGAGTACAATATGGGTTTTTTAAAAATTTATTTTATTTTAATTTAATTTAATTTATTTTAAGAGAGAGCATGAGCAGGGGAGGGGCAAAGAGAGGCAAAGAGAGAGAGAATCCCAAGCAGGTTCCATGCTGCTAGGCCAGTGCCCAAAGTGGGGCTCAAACACACAAACGGTGAGATCATGACCCGAGCCAAAATCAAGAGTCAGCCACTCAACCGACTGAGCTACCCAAGCACCCCCTGTATAGGTATTTTTGAGAGCGATCCCACATTCACATAATTTTTATTACAGTGTATTGTTATGGTTGTTCTGTTTTATTGTTGTTCATCTCTTACTGTGCCTAGTTAAGAAGTTAAACCTTAGCACAGATAGGTATGCACAGGAAAGAATGTAGTGTATGTAAGGGCTGGTACCACCCATCATTTTGGGCACCCACTGGGGGTTGTGGAACAAACCCCCTGTGGATAAGGGAGAACTGTGGTGTTCTGCAGGGGTCAGGAGTTGGGGATGAAGAGGACTGAGGGTTGAAAGAGGAGATAGAAGGCCCCTATTCTGGATCTTACTCTTCTTTAGAAGGGAACTTAGGGAACATGCCTGGGTGGCTCAGCCGGTTAAGTGTCCAGTTCTTGATTTTGGTCCAGTCCATGATCTCATCTCATGGTTTGTGAGATTGAGCCTTGAGGTGGACTCTGTGCTGGGTGTGGAGCCTGCTTAAGATATTCATTCTCTCTCTCTCTCTCTCTCTCTCAAAAAAAAAAAAAAAAAAAAGATTAGAAGGGAACTCAAAACCCCCATAGGTTTTTGTTTTTAAAGAGCTAGCAGACACTGTAGGTGTAGCCCAACCCCTGTTCTTTGTTGTAACTTGTCCAGAGCCCCTCTCGGAACCTTGTGACATCATTTCCAATTATAGGGAGGCTTTCTTGGGTGTCACACAGGAGAGTTTTGGGATTTACATTTCTTTTTTGGATTTACATTTCTAAAGGATTTTGTCTCTGGTAAGGGTAGCAATACAGTCTCACTAGGTTGAGGTGGTCAAGCAGGTAAACTTAGAAACTTGTAGCACTTACTCCTTTCCCTGGGGGGCGGGGGGCACTGGAGGGTGAAATGTGTAGCATGTGCTACTTACAGCTGACTGCACTTGCAGATATTCTAGCTGTACATTTAGTGTGCTAAAATAGGAAAAGCCTTATTGAGAACCACTGTGGGAGTAGGGACCTATGTTAATTAGATAGAACTGTTTGCCTTGGGACAGTGTGCCTCATTGCTTGGCTTCCTGTTTTGTTAGCAGCCTGAGGAGACGTTAAAAGCCTGTTGACTTTAACAGTGGAGAACCAGTTTTCATTATCAAGCTCTTCTTTTGACTTTAATGTGATTGTGTTCAAGTGTCCTTCAGAAGATGAATTTGTCATTCATTTATCTTTCATGCTTTATCTTTTATGGAAGTGATAAACATCTTTTGATTAACAGTACATGGCAGGTTTTAAAGCCCTCTTATACACCTAAGATTAGTTCCAGGTGATAGGGGTAGCTTTTTTCAGATTGTGATTTACAGTTGTAATTAAATAGTTGATTGTTTCCTTGATCTAAAAGTAGCCATGGTTTTTTCAAGTGAACAGAAATTAAACATTACCAAATAGATGTTTTATGTAAGGTGTATGTTTCCAAGCTTAACCTGTCTATAAATCAGTGTAGCTGATTATTTTATTACTGTATGTAAAGATATTTTGGATCACAGAAATTTATATCTCATTCTAGAAAGCTTACTAAAAAATGTCATATGACTTAACCATACAAAATGGTGAATGCTAGGTTAGCTGTTAGGCTCCCTCAGGGTGGGGATCATGTCTGGTGCATTTTCATAAGTCCAGGATTGGGTATATAACATGGGCTCAGTAGATTCTGCAAGAGTAGGGCAGGAAGGAAGAATACATATTAAATTATTATCTTTTATCTGTTAGCTCGCGATTTAATAATTAGAGTTGAATTTTTTTTGAGAAACTTATTTCTGAAGAGTTTGAATATATATTTAAACTTTGTGAAAGACTGGCTTGTTTTAAATTTCAGCTGCTGCTTTTTTTATCACCTATGAATACGTAAAATGGTTTTTACACAATGATTCGTCTTCATATTTGATGCCGGTGAAGCATATGTTGGCTGCCTCTGCTGGAGAAGTGGTAAGTAACAAGTTAATGCATGTAAAACTCTTTAGGAATGCAAACTGTGTGTATATCTTTGGTACAGATAATACTTTATTTTGTTTTTAAAAGGCAGTTCTGTTTTCAGTTATGAAAGTCATAAACCCCAATAAATGTAAATGGATTAAACATGATAGTTAAGACATAGGGTCTAGATAAGATGAAAGAAAAATCCAGTGTTGTGCTGTTTTCAAAAGGCCTGCCTAAAACATAATGACACAAAGAATAAAATTAAAGAAATGGAAGAAGGTATCCATGGAAATTGTGGTGGCTTTGTGTTGTGTCAGCATAACTGAGCTGGAACTCCATTTCCTGGAACTCCCTTTCCAGGATGATTCCAGGTTAGGCTGGCTACAAGAGAAACTTGTACACGATTCATTAAGGTGAACCTGAAGCAACAGTTGTGTTTATGCTTAGAAGGTGGTGTTAGAGTCAGTCAGTGTTACAGTTCATGCACCTCATCTCTGGGCTCCAGCCTCTCCGGTTCCTACTGGATCATATCTGTCAGCGTCTCTAATTTCTGAGTCAGATGTGTGGTCTCTATGGTGAAGGATGCCAGCTTCTTCTTTCAGTCACCCGTATCATCAAAGTTGAAGAGAAACCAATGTGTCATTTTATCCTTGCTTTTCCCCTTTTCACACCATTTCATCCACCCCATTGCCTGCTCTCTGAGTTCTTTCCTAATGCTAGATGTAGAGGCAAAAATTCTACGTAACCTGCTTAATCAACCCCATAAATACTGTTCACACCTATAGTAACTCTTTCTTCTTTCTTCTCTCTCTCTCTTTTTTTTTTAAGTTTGCTTATTTTGAGAGAGTGAGAGCACAAGCTGAGGAGGGACAGGAAGAGAGGGAAGGAGAGAATCCCAGCATGGGGCTTTGATCCCAACTGTGAGATCATGACTTGACCCAAAATCAAGAGTCGGATACTTAACTGACTGAGCTACCCAGGCACCCCAATAACTCTTTATTCTTATCATTTACAGTGGTTCTACTTCTTTGACCAACTCTGATACAGAAATACACACTGAAAAAGACCTGATAGAATAATGTCAGTATCAGGCAAAAAAAGGACTGGAAGCAAAAAAACAAAGAGACCCTTGAATAGTGATACAAGGACAAATTATCTTGGGAGATGTAATAAACCTGGACCTGGACTAAATAATGCTGTCTCAAAATCAAGCAGAGATTGATAAACATGAATTGAGACTGTAGAATATTTGAAAAAGAAAATGGCAAGATTGGGCTAAGGGATATGTATTGAGCTCTGAAACTGAGATTGAAAGATTATTCTTTTTTTTTTTGCATACCAGAAACATTAGTAAAAATGTATGATCCAGTAGTACAACAATGCAAATTTCAGCAAGTAGTGTAGAGATCGTGTCGTACAGCTCATTTGGTATCTGATGGAGTAAAATTGGAAAGCAGTGACAAGATAGGCAGTCCATCTCTACTAGGTGTTTAAACAATAATTTCTCTCTTGTAAATAATTCATTACCAAAATGAAATCCTAATGTAGGTGATAAAATATTTGTAATTAAAAAATAATACAGGGGCGCCTGGGTGGATCAGTCGGTTAAGTGTACTACTTCAGCACAGGTCATGATCTCGTGGTTCGTGGGTTCAAGCCCTGCATTGGGCTCTGTGCTGACAGCTAGCTCAGAGCCTGGAGCCTGTTTCAGATTCTGTGTCTCACTGTGTCTCTGACCCTCCCCTGCTCGCGTGTGCTCTCTCTCTCCCTCTCTCCATCTCTCCCTCTCTCTCTCTCTGAGGAAAAAAGAAAAGCATTAAAAAAAAAAAAAAAAAGAAAAGAAAGATCCCCCCCCCCAAACTAACACAGAGAAGGTTATAATACAAAAGTTCTCCACTGACCTGACCCACTCAACTGTCTTCCAGCCCCTCTTACTCAATACTAACAGACATCCCCTAATAAAATATTTTTGTATAACCATCCAGAAGTTGTGTGTTCTTTACCGTTGTTATTGTCAAGTTCCATGGTCTGGTATTCATAGAGTCATACTAAGCCCAGAATCTTGTTATAGGCGGGGTATGTTAACAAGAATCGAAGACAAAGTGAAAAGAAGGGTCTTAGTTTATAAGCCTGTTATCATTTTATTAATTTATATATTTTTTCTGTTTAGAAAAGTGGTGGTATATATTTACATGAGGAACTTTGAAAAGCCTTTATAAGATTTACACTAAAAATGTCATACGTGTGGTTTTGTTTTCTATGCAGTATTTTTCTTTAGAAAAGTTGGTTGAGAAAATATAAACTGTTGTGTAATCCAATTTTTTACTTGAGAATATAGTGAATGGAGAAAGCACAGATCATGACAGAAAAGTATAAGTGTAGATTGACTTTAAGAAGACAATGGGAAAACAACAGATTTATTGAAACGTAATTCACACACTATACAACTCATTTAGAGTGTATAAAAGGTGTTTTTAGTATATTCAAAGTTGTACAACCATCACCACAGACAATTTTAGGACATTGTCATCTCTCCAGAAAGAAAGATCATACCCATTAGCAGTCACTCCTCATTTCCCCCAACTTTCCCACCACCAGTTTACTTTTTGTCTTTATAGATTTTTCGATGCTGGACATTTCATATAATTGGAATCCTCAACATGTCTTTTATGACTGGCTTCTTTCACTTAGCATGAGATTTTCAAGGTTTTATCCATGTTTAGCATTTTCAGGACTTCATTCCTTTTAATTGCCAAGTAATATTCCATGTGGCATGAATATTTGGATTGTTTGCTGGACATGTGGGTTGTTTGCACTTTAGGGCTGTTATGTACAATGCTACTCTTATGAACCTTTTTGTTCAAGTCTTTTTGTTGATATATTCATTTCTCTTGGATGTAGATGTAGAAATGGAATTATTAGTTATGTGCTAACTGTATGTTTAACCCTCTGAAGAAGTATTTCATTTTTTTTTTTTTTAATTTTTTTTTAATGTTTTATTTATTTCCAGGAGAGAGAGAGACAGCGTGAGCAGGGGAGGGTCAGAGAGAGAGGGAGTCACAGACTGAAACAGGCTCCAGGCTCCGAGCTGGCAGTCAGCACAGAGCCCGACACGGGGCTCGAACCCACGAACCGCGAGATCATGACCTAAGCGAAAGTCGGACGCTTAACCGACTAAGCCACCCAGGCGCCCCTGAAGAAGTATTTCAAAGTGGCTATACAGTTTTACATTCCCAGCAGCAGTGCACATGGGCTCTGCTTTCTGCACATTCTTGCCACCACTTGATGTCTGTCTTTTAAATTATAGCCAACATCTTATTGTGATTTTGATTTATATTTCTCTGATAACTAATGATTTTGAGCATCTTTTCATTTACTTACTATTTGCTTATCTTCTTTTTTTTTACAAATAGTTTATTGTCAAGTTGGTTTCCATATAACACCCAGTGCTCATCCCCACAAGTGCCTTTCTCCATGCCCATCTCTCCCCTCCCCCCCACCCATGAGTCCTCAGTTTGTTCTCAGCATTCAAGAGTCTCTCATGGTTTGTCTCTCTCCCTCTCCCCCACCATTTCCCCCCTTCTTCTCCTCCATGGTCCTCTGTTAAGTTCCTCCTAATCCTCCTATACGTGCAAAACATATGATATTTGTCCTTCTCTGCCTGACTTACTTCGCTCAGCATAACACCCGCAAGGTCCATCCATGTTGCTACACATGGTCAGATTTCATTGTTTCTCATTGCCATGTAGTATTCCATCGTATAGATAAGCCACATCTTCTTGATCCATTCATCTGTTGATGGACACTTAGGCTCTTTCCATGTTTTGGCTATTGTTGAGAGTGCTGCTATGAACATTGGGTTCCATGTGCTCCTATGCATCAGCATTTCTATATCCCCTGGGTACATTCCTAGCAGTGCTATTGCTGGGTCATAGGGGAGTTCTTTTGTTAATTTCCTGAGGAACCTCCACACTGTTTTCCAGAGGGGCTGTACCAGTTTACATTCCCACCAACAGTGTAGGAGGGTGCTCGTTTCTTCACATTCTTGCCAGCGTCTCGAGTTCTCTGATTTGCTCATTTTAGCCACTCTGACTGGCGTGAGGTGGTATCTCAGTGTGGTTCTGATTTGTATTTTCCTGATGAGGAGGGATGCTGAGCATTATTTGCTTCTCTTCTTTGGAGACATACCTATTCAGATCCTTAGTTCTTTCACTGGGTGTCTTGTTATTGAGTTGTGGAAGTTCTTTATATATTCTACCTACAAGTGCATTATGAGGCCTATAATTTGTAAAATTTTTGCCATTTTGGGCATTGTCTTTCCACTTTCTTTGGCACTTTTCATTTTCTTCACTTTGAAGCATAAATTTAAAATTTTGATTTTACCTATTTTACTTAATGCTTCTGGTTTGGTGTTACATCTTTGAAACCATTGCATTATTTGAGATCATGAAGATTTATACTTGTGCTTTATTCCTAGAGTTTTAGTTTTAACCCTTACTTTTAGGTGTTTGACCCATTTTGAGTAATTTTGTGTCTGGTGTGAGGTAGTAGTCAGACTTCAGAATTTTGCATGTGGGTATCCAATTGACCTGGCCCCATTTGTTAAAGAACTCTTCTTTATCCATTAAAGGGCCCTGGCACCCTTCTCAAAACATACTTGATTGTAAATGTAGGTGTGTGTTTGTGGATTCCCAGTTCTGCTCTGTTGATCTCTCTATCTGTCCTTGTGCTGGAACCACACAGACCTGACTAACTGCAGCTTTGTGGTAAGTTGTGAAATCAGTAACTACAATTTCCAACTTAGTTCTTCTTTGTCAAGGTTGTTTTGCCTATTCTGGGTCTCTTGTGTTTTCATATGAAGTTGAGAATCAGCTTCTCAACTTCTGTAAAAAAGGCAACTTAAATTTTGATAGGGATTGCATTCAATCTGCAAATCAATTTGGAGACTTGCTATCTTAAAAATATTAAATTTTGTGATCTATAAATATGTGATATCTTTCCATTTATTT